AATGAAAAATCTAAAGTTAACGTCATACTTAATGATGAAAGACTTCATGTTTTTCCCTTAAGATCAGAAAAAAACAAAACAAAACAAAAAAAACTACAGTGTCTGATTTCACTTCTATTCAACATTGTGCTGGTGGATCTAGCCAGTGCAGTAAGGCAAGAAATTGGGAGAAAAGAAGTAAAACTGTGTTTATTTGCGGATATGATATTCTGTGTAAAAAATCCAATGAAATCTACCCCCAGGAAAATGCTACTATAATTGTGTTTCACATCATTAGAGAATACAAGATCAACAGACATAAGTCAGTTTTATTTCTATATAGTCTTAGTTCATTTGGCTGCTAAAAAGAATACTTTAGACTGGGTAACTTACAAAAAACAGAAATTTGTTACAGTTCTGGAGGCTGGAAAGTCCAAGATCAAGGCACTGGCAGATTTGGTATGTGGTAAGGGCTTGCAGTCTGCTACATAGGTGGTGACTTGTTACTGAACCCTCACATGGCAGAAGAGGTAAGCAGCCTCCCTCAAGCCTCTTTAATAAGGATGCTAATCCCCGATTCATGAGGGTTCTGTCTAATTACCTCCTAAAGGCCCCACCTCTTAATACTAGCACATTGGATCCCAACATTCAGATCACAGCATATATAGGTACGAAATAAGTAAAAATTGGAATCAAAAAAGTAATACTACAAAAGCATCATGTTATTAACTACTTTAGGATAAATATGACAGAAGATCTGTTTTGAGAGTGCACAGCTAAATTGGGTCACAGTACCAGAGAGGCTAGCAACCTACCTGACTGGGAAATGAAGAGGAGGCTAGACATAGGTGTTTTTGTTTGTTTGTTTTTCTTTCTCTTTTTGAGACAGTGTCTCACTGTTGCCCAGGTAGGGTGCAATTGTGTCACCATAGCTCACTGAAACCTCAAATGATCCTCCTGCCTCAGCCTCCGAAGTAGCTGGGACTATAGGCATGTGCCGTGACACCTGGCTAATTTTTCTATTTTTCGTATAGATGGGGATCTCACTCTTGCTCAAGCTGATCTTGACCCCTGATCTCAAGCGATTCTCCTGCCTCAGCCTCCCAAAGTGCTAAGATTACATGCGTGAGCCACCATGACCTGCCAAGGGTGTTTCAAGAGATATTTTTTTACCTAGTGGACAGCCTTATGCATAGTTGTCCAATCTGAGACCAAGGAGCCCATCACTCAGGGAATTTGTTGATACTGGCAGACGCCCTTGTGGCTTTTGTCTGACCCATGTCCACTTTATGTCTGCTTGACCATCACTCTGGTGCTGGGAGCCCAACCTTGTTTTCTTCCCAGTATTCCAGGGAGAACTCAGTCTGGGGCAACTCCTAGTTTTTTAGCTGGAAGGTATAAATTCAATACACCACCACAATAGCAAACAAGTTCAAATATTTTTCCTTACAGATCCTGAGCAAGGAGGGTGTAATGAATGGAGAGGGTAGTCCTCTATCCCTGGGTCATGAGAGGCAGGAATGAAAAATAAGGCTCCTGGGGCAGGGGGATACAAAAGGTTGGGGGCAACTAGCAGTAAAGAGAACAGAGTATGGGTCACTTTAAGTTCATGAGCAAATGCTGGTAAATCTGGAAATCTAGTCTGATAAGGAGGAGAGGGCCCAGCATGGTGGCTCATGCCTGTAATCCTAGTACTCTGGGAGGCTGAAGCAGCCAGATTGGATCATTTGAGCTCAGGAGTTTGAGACCAGCCTGAGCAAGAGGGAGACCCCATCTCTACTAAAAAAAAAAAAAATTGAAAGACATTATATGGACAACTAAAAATATATATAAAAAATTAGCCAGGCATGGTGGCGCATGCCTGTAGTCCCATCTACTCAGGAGGCTGAGGCAGAAGGATCGCTTGAGCCCAGGAGTTTGAGGTTGCTGTGAGCTAAGCTGATGCCATGGCACTCTAGCCAGCACAACAGAGACTCTGTCTCAAAAAAAAAAGGGGGGGGGATGCCTCTAAATTATCTCTGGGCACTGGATTGAGAAATTGTAATTAGTGCTGTAAACATAATAAAGAACACACAGAAATTGGGGGGGGGGTTACTATTTAAATGTGGTGATCATAGGAAGTCTCTATGTGAACATTCACAGTCCAAAACCTAAAGAGGCAGGAAGAACTAGCCAGACAAGGAAAAGATCATAGTCAAAGGAACTGCATTTGGGAGAGCCTGGGAAGGCAGCAGGGTACAGGGAAAGGAGTGTCTGATGTATTCTAAAACCCTAAAGAAAGCCAATTTGGCTGGAGCATAGGGAGTGTGGAGTAAAGGGAAAGAAAGCCTAATGATCACATAAGAGAGGTAGGCAGGGGTCAGATCTTATAGGATCCTATAAGAATTGGGATTTTATATAGTGTGCTGAGAAGCCATTTTATAGTTTTAATTAGGCTATAGACATAATTGGATTTTTATTTTTAAAAGATTATTCAGTGGCTCTGATAGAGAATCAACTGGAGGCAATAATACAGTCTAAGTTGTCACAGATGGTCCCCTTTCCATAAAAATGCTGAATAATGCATAATATGTTTTTATTTAAACAACAAAAAAAGTCAAAGAATTTAAAGGAAAGCAAAAGAGATGTACAAACGGGGACTCTACCTCTGGGGATTGGGATTCATACTCATATTTGAAGACAAGGTTGTTGAAATAAAGTTGAGAACCTAGAAAAGATGGACCATGTATTAACAGAAGATGAAAAAATCTCAGCCTACTGCTCTGGAAAAGTAGTAAGGAAACTTGCTATCTTTGAGTATCTATCTATACACAGATATATATGTAAAATACCTATCTATCTACCTATATAGGCATTTAGAAAGCTTACACCAGAGACCTGTATCATATATGAGGGTAGGATCCAAATTCACATAAGCTGAAAAGAATTACCTTAAATCTGGTTTAAAACAATTGAAACTTCTAGGGCCCAGTAAAACCAACCTGTAGAGATATTCTGTCAACACAGGGGTACAAAGGACTTCAACAGAACTAAACACTTCTTTGAAGATAAACTCCCACTAAAATATTACACATAATTTGAAGAAACCAGCCACTATCAGGGAGAGCCAAAAGAAACAACAGTAGATTTGGAACCTTGCAAACTGGAAATTATAATAATAATTATTTTTATTATTATTATTATTTCTTGAGACATGGTCTCACTGTTGCCCCAGCTAGCATGCAGTGTTGTCATCACAGCGCACTGCAACATCAAACTCCTGGGCTCAAGTGATCTTTCTGCCTTAGCCTTCAGAGTAGCTGGGATTACAGGCGTGTACCACCACATCTGCCCAATTTTTCTATTTTTTGTAGAGAAGGGGTCTTGCTCTTGCTCAAGCTGGTGTGGAACTCATGACCTCAAGCAATCCTCCCACCTTGGCCTCCAAAAATGCTAGGATTACAGGCATGAATCATCACGCCCAGCCTGGAAATTATAAATTTATACAGATGGATTTTATTATCTTTTACTGTATCTCGCTCGTGCTTTGTTTCTCATTCAGGGACAGTGCAAAACCTTATAAATACCCCAATTTCCATCTCTACTAAGATTATTGATAATTCCTAAAATTCCCCAAAAGTAAATGAAAGACAATTTTTGTGTGAAACTTCAACAAGGGGCACAAAGGGTGGTTTAGCACTGTTATTAGATGAACTAGATGGCTGTTGCCAGCAAATGGGAAACTGAATTAACTACCAGATTGCCACTGATACCCATCTACTATTTTGGAGCTAATCTATAGCATTACTTTAAATGTATTTAGTCTATGTTCACAAACTGGATGGAACTGTCACCTCCAATCCTTTTAGATGGCATTTTAATTTTTAAATGTTATGAAAAATGAGTCCACATTTAAAAGGAAGCATCTATGGCATCCCCACATTGAAAAACCACTTTACATTTAATGGCTCAAAGATTAAATTGATAAACTAGAAATTTCCCAAACATCCTTCACCATCTGATCATTTACTAAATTCGAAGTAGTCATTTCAACTTTTTTCTTGGTGTTTTATTTTCCAGTCTACTCCTTCAATTTGTTTAAAAATATCAACACACTAAAGCCAAAACTCACATCTCGGATTTCCAAGGTAAGCCAACATAATGAGTAGTTGTTACTGCAAAAATAGTGGAAAGAGAAATGTGAAAAATAGGATAACTGGTCCTTTGTAAGTCACCGTGATCTCTGTGTGCTTCAAAAACTCTTGCATCCTTTAATGTAAAATGAGGAAATGGGAGCGCAGAGAAGTTAGTGTTCAAGGCAGAACCAGAACTATGAGACCAGGGACTCCAGGCAGGACCCTAAAAAACGTTTTCCCATCCCCCAGCACCGGCGTTTTACAATGTCTCTTTAACGTGAAAACTGATGGGAGATCTATTTTTAAGGGGAGATATTTAGGTCATTCCTTAGAAGAAAAATAACATATTATCAAAAATCATTCACACACACACAAAAAAAGCAAGGAAACCCACCAGCAAAAGAAATCGGGGAAATGCTACGGCCTGCGAGAGACCTGGTTATGTCAAACGTATCGGTTTCCTTGCCATGAATTACGTAGACCCCAGCCCTCTTGTGTGTTTCTTCGTCACTAAAAGCCTACACAAGATCCTTGTCTTCAATCTGAGGGATGCTTCCAGCGCACTTCACACAAACGCCTCCGAGGCGCGCGGCGGACCGCCGGGGCGAACTCACGGAGGACCCCAAGAGACGCTCACGCCCGCCCCGTGGCGCCACCGATAAACTGCCTGTTTATCTTCGGCCTTATCCACATCGCCACCTCCGCCCTTATCTCTAGAAGCGATTGACCAGAGAGAACGAGACATCGCGAAACAGAGCACAGGCAAGTCGGGGACAGGGAACGTCTGCGCGGCAGTTTCCGTAGGCTAGTTGTCAGGCACTGCTGGAGACAGCCTCCAAGGGAGCCGGACCCTCGTGCCGGGGAGAAAGGGCCTTGGGTCTGAAGCTCGACGAGCTGATTGGCTGGTTGGACTCGGTGGGGAAGAACCCGGATGTGCCTGGGTAGCTGTGTTGGCAGTCGGGGCTCTGAGATTTGGGCGTTCTGGGGGTGCTGGTAGCGGGGGCACATGGCGCAGGGTTGGGCTGGCTTCTCTGAGGAGGAGCTGAGGAGGCTAAAGCAGACTAAAGGTAAAGGGATGTGTGTGCAGAGGTTTGATTCTTGATTCTGAAGCGGGAGAGGCGGGGCTGCAGCTTTTAAAGGGGAAGGGGGCGTGGAAGAGTCCGTGTGTCTGTGTTAAGGGAAGGAGCTGTGAGTGGGTGGACGGATTGTGGGGGCTCCAGAAGTGGAGGTACTTGGAGTCGAGTCACGGCGGGAGGGGAAACCCAGGGGACTGGGGTCTTCTTGTAGGAAAGAGGGTTCAGGAATCCATTTCACCGATTTGGCATTTTTTGTGTGAAAGGAATGGGACTTGGAAAAGCAAGTGAGCGTACAGCCTGGGTGTCTCCTGGAGGGAGGATTGCTGCACGAATCAGTAGTTGAAGGGTTGGGGTTAGGGTAAAGGAAGGCGGGCGCACGTCATATTAGAATTATGATGAATTTATAGCAGCAGATGATGATTAGGGAAAAAAGGGAGCATGAGGGTCTGAATAAACGCAAAAACTCGGTGCTTTTCATAAAACATCTGGAGTATTGCATTGACTTCTGGCTGCCAGATGATTTTTGCAGTTTTTTCTCATTCTTGAAAGTCACCAAACCAAAAGGGTCTCTGAAAGGTTATATATGAAGGCTTCATATATACGTATACATACAGCCCTATGGATTTGGGGTCAGCTAAAATCTTGTGCTTCCCTCTTCAGCTTTATAGAGTAATCATTGAATGAGTTTGTCCTTTTTTTTTAATCTTTTGATGAAGGAATTAAGTTTGCTGATACTTGTAGAAAATTTTTAGTGATTTCAACTGTGCTTTGTGGTTGAAATCTCATAAAGATCTCTATGGTGATCCTGGTGATTCTTCTCACGTAACTTCTGTGACAACTTTATGCCACTCTTGGTACCATAATTTGAATATTTTATTTTGGAGAAAATTAAATAAATCCTGCTATGCATTTTATTAGAGTTTGTGAGAAAATTAGATGTTAGCATAGATGTGAGAATAATCTAGGACTGCCAAGTGGAAAAGGAAGTAAATTAGTGAAATAAGGCCAATGTAGATTATATAGACTGGGAACATTTTTGCTGGTCCAGAGGCCTTATAAACTGTATAATAAAGGTTATACCACACTGTGTGGTTAACTAACTCTATCTAGTTTGATGTACTCAAATTCTTTTGCTCTGTGTTTTTAACATCCATTCATATATTCCCTTGTACCAAGTATAAGTACCGTGGCCTCTGGTCTGACTCCAGTACTTTGGTGAGGAGACAAACCATAAAATAATATGATAGTAGACGTTATACAGAGCTTGCTTCAGAGCTAAGGGGAAACTCACTGTTCTGGGGACTGGATGGAGCTTAGGAAGATTTCACAGAGGTTATGTGTTACACAGGTGAGTTTTCCAGAATAAGGAAGTCTAACTGTAGAAGTCTAATTAAACAGAACATTCATTATGTAGAAGTATATTTTGAAATATCTCTGTGATTTGGGGTAGGTAAAGGAGGGCAAGGGCCTGAACTTGAAGGGCCATGGTTTGAGATGTTAGAGTGTGGACACCAGCTCACTAGTCAGTGACCACTTGAGGACAGAGAAAGCATCTTGACATCTTTACCCATAGCCAAACACAATGATTGGCATATAGAACTCCCAGCCCTGCCTCTAAATATTTCTCCTTGAATTTCTCATTTGTAAAACTAGAAGATTTCGGATCTTTAATTTTAAAGCCCCTTCTAGCTGTTCTTAAGAATATAATTAGGTAGTCTAGGAAAATGGGGTTTGTTGCCAGCAAAAATAAGGACAGTGGTACTCTAGAGATCCCTGTATGTTCATTGAGGAACATGGTCAAGAATGTTCTTAACAGTCTTGCTTATAATATTAAAGAGCTGGAAACACCAAAGTATTTGTTAACAAGAGAGTAGTTAAATAAGTTGTGGTGTATTCATCTAGTAGGCTACTGTGTAGCTAGTGGGAATATATGATAGCCGCATGCATTAACATGTATGTTAATATGGATGTAATTACAGTTGACCCTTGAACAACACAAGTGTGAATTATATAGATCCATTATATGCAGATATTTTTCAACCAAATGTGGATCGAAATATTTGGGAGATGTGAAACCCAAATATAAGGAAGATTGACCTTTCCATATACAGGTTCCTCAGGGCCCACTGTGGGACTGTAGTATGCACAAATTTGGGTATGTGTGGGGTTACTGGAACCAATTGCCCTAGTATACCGAGGAATAACTGTATATATACCATATATAGTCATGTACAGCATAACAGTATGTCAGTTAACTATAGACTACATATACAATGATGGTCCCATAAGATTATAATACTGTATTTTTACTGTACCTTTTATTTGTTTAGGTATACAAATACTTAGCATTGTATTACAGTTGCTTACAGTATTCAGTATAGTAACATGTACAGATTTGTAGCCTAGGAGCAATAGACTATCCCATATAACAGGTATATAGTAGGCTATACCATCTAGGATTGTGTAAGTACATTCTATGTTGCTTGCAAGACAGAATTGCCTAATGACTCATTTCTCAAAATGTATCCCTGTCTTTAAGTGATGCATGACTGTGTATGGTGGGGAGGCAAAGGAATGGGATGAGGAAGGGCAAATACATAGGGAATTTCAGAGGTGTTGATAATTGTGAAATCAGTTTAAGCCAAGTTAAACTGAAGTAACAAACAGCCTTAAAATATCAGTTGTTTAAAATAATAAAGATTTATTTTTCCCTATAGTTTTATGTCTGCCATGGGTTAGCATGGGTTGACTCTGTTCCACACTCGTTCCACACCATCTTTTGGTGCTGTTATGTAGAAGTTCACTAGAAGAAAAGAATATTGAAAATTATAAGTTGGTAATTAAATGCTTAATTTAACAGTGATACCACTAAATAACATGTGTGACTCCTACATATATTTCATTTACCAAAAGCTAGTCATATTACTTGATACACAGGAAATTCAATTCTCTTATGGCTTCCAAAAGCAACGGTTATGTTTATCCTTAACACATTGACTGCTACACTAGAAAAAATAATAATAATTTTTCCTTGGGGCCACTGTGTTTTATTATGAAAATAGAATAAAAACTTTGAAAACAAAAACAAAACTATTCTAATTTAATGAAAAATTTGTTACTTTTTATTGTTTTCTATGTGTGAGTTATATGCAACTTGAAAAATACTTCATGAAGCTCCAAGGTAAACAGACATATGAGTTACATATGCTTCATGAGGCCCCGTGCTTAAAAGCTAGTGTGAGTTAACTATAACTCATATGGCAGTTAATGTGTTAAAATAGCAGTTATGTCTAGTATAGTCATGTTTTATTTCTTAAACTGTTTTTTTTTTATGATGAACACTAATTGGGAAAGAGTGTGTGTGTGATACATATATTTTGTATATAACTTATTTCATAACAAAACTGCGAGCAAAAAAATAGTGCAGCCTCATGCTATCAGTTTCTAAAGAAATTATTCATAACAGTTTTTTGTTCTTGATAGTAGTTCATTGCCAGTTATGTTACCTGCCAGTTATATAATACCTTCTCCCAGTTTGTAACTTGTCTTTTAACTTTTATCTTTTGATGAACAGTGTATTTAATTTTAATATATTCAAATTTGTCAGTGTTTTTTTTTTAAACAGCTGATGTTTTCTGTGCCTTAAGAAATCAGTCTCCTATTATAAGGTCTAAAAGATACTAATCTGTGTTTTCTATTAAGATTTTTGTTTTCATATGATGTGAGGTGTGGATCTGATTGTATCTTTTCCTTATAGATAACCATTTTTCCCCAGGTCTATTTATTAAATAATCCCGCTTTTTGCTATTGATTTTATATCCTACATCTGACATATACTAATGCTTCATACATGCATGAATCAGTTTCTAGGTTTTTTGTTCTATTCCATTGGTCATTTTGTCTATTCTTGCACCGATACCACACTGCCTTAAAGATTCATGATATTCCTGATATCTAGTAGTATGGTTCCTTTGCTCTTTTTCTCTAGAAGCTTACTTGCTATTCTTGAATGTTTATCCTTTTATATAAAATTTTTAATAATTTTCCCAAACTCATGGAAAACTCAGTAAGAATTTTGATAGTAATTGCATTGAGTCTTTAAATCAATTGCATCTTTACATTATTAACACTACCACTGACATGGCATATGTCTTCATTTATTTAGGTCTTCAGTGTCTTTTAATGAATTTTAGAATTTTCCCTGTAGAGGTCTTGAATATCTTTTTGTTAGATTTGTTTCTAGATACATGATAATTTCTGATATTGATATATCTTCTCTTATGTTTTCCAATTGTTTGCTGCTGATATGTTAAAAATACAAGCCAAAAGAAAAGTCAAAAAAGACATAACTAGATATTTCATAGAAAAGGAAATATGAAAAGATGCTCATCCCCACCAAAGAGCAGAGAATTACAGATCAAGAGCACAGTGAGGTACCATTTTACACCCATTTGACTGACAAAATTAAAATGTATGACAACATCATTTATTGAAGAGGAAGTATATTCACAGAATCTTATACATTGCTAGAGGGAATACATTTTGGATAGCAGTTTCACATTCCTTCTAAAGTTATACTTTATGACCCAACATGAAGTATAGATAAAATTCTTAGATAATATCCATGGCAAATTCTTGGACATGTAAAAGAGAAGACATAACAGTGAAATTAATAGAAGCAAAAGCCTGAAGCCAACCTAGATGTTCATCAGTGGAAGGAGATCAGATCAGTAGACTCTGGTTTACTCTCATGTGGAATTTTATACAACAAAATGAATGATTACAGCAACATGTACAATATGGAACACTATTGATAGTATTAGAAAAGATGATGTACAACATGAAATCTTTTTTATAAAGGTTAAATAAAAATACTTTTTAGAAATATTTGTAGTTGCAATATGACTATTAGAGAAGGAAGGGAATGGTCAACACATGATTCATATGATAGTTTTGCTGTGGAGAGATCAGGGCTTAAATAAAGGATATGAGGTAGAGATCACAAACTCATAGCCTATTGGCTTAATTTAACCCAATAATGTATTTGGCTTTCATATTTTCCTTCCTCCTTCCCTCTGTCTCTCTCTCATTACCCAATCTTTAAATTTCTTTTCAAATTAATAGTATAATAATCATTAGTGCTGTTTGCTAAACCAGCATATGTCAATTGCCCTTGTTTGGGGTGGGGATGCATGACTTTTGCCATTGAATTATGAACAGAAGTGTTACGCCACTGCTGGCTGGGTCAGTCCTGAGCTCTCTTCTCCCCCTGTCATGGTGGCTGACAACACTAACTGGTGACTATACAGTCAGCCTGGAGCCTGAGACACTAATCAGCAGAACCCCCTGCTGGCCTTTAGTCTGCACCTGGCATTAATGAGAAGTAAACCTTTGTGGTTTAAAACCACTAAGATTTCTCCCTACAGCACAATCGAGATTTTCCTGAATGTTATAGTTCCCTACATTTAAAAAATCAGGATATTTTACCTAAAAATCTGAATTTTAATTGTGAAAAATCAAAATGTCTGGCTATACTGACCTAAATTTTTTAATGACAACAGTTGACTAGAGGTGACTGTGAATTGCCCTCTTTACACCAGATTTATGCTCAGTTTACTATGGTCTCCTTGATATTTGCAGCCCCCAATACACGGTATGGAAAACAGTATGTTCTGTTTTTAAATGGCCAGATTTGTTCATTATTTTGGAATGAAAAATTAGCATTTTCAATCTATAGGTAGGTTCTGTAAAAATGAAAAAAAAATAGAAGCTACAGGAACTGAATTTCAGAGGTACATTAATATTTAATAGTTCAGCTAATGAGTTCATCTGGGAGGTAAGCAGGCTCCGTGACATTTTCTGATGGTGTGAATAAGGATCTGTAGCCAAGAAAAAGTTTCTGTAGCAAGATACAGGGAGATAGATACTTTGTGTTTCTGGCTAAAATCAACAGTAACATTTGTTTTTGATAGTACTTCTGTCTTTCTAAAAAAAATATTTTCTACATATATCTCATTTAATTCTTAAAGCAACTTAATGCATAAAGTAGAGCAGGTAATTTTCAGCCATTTTGAAAGATGAGGAAACTGAGGTATTGAATAATTAATTGGCTTGCCCGAGGTCACTGAGCTGGACAGAAGCAAAGCCAGGACTGTGTCCATAGCTCTTAACTATACTTTGGGAAATTTAAATAATAAGCTTGTGTTGCCTCAAAGGTCAGTATGCAGAATTTAAAAGTTCTGTTTGTGTTGTTCATTTACAAGGACTCGTCATAACTTCATTTCCCCAGCATTTTATAAAAAATGCTACTTATACATTTAATATGAATGTGAGTCATATTCTCCAGTTGTCTGCCCTAAGAGGTTAACACTGGCATGGACAATCCAAAAAGTAAAATAGAGGTATTATTATTCAGTTTATCATTTAGAATTTTTTTTCTTCCAGTTTTATCTTCCTCTATTACTTTGTTCAGGCAACTATTAAATTAGTTTAAATGCATTGATTAGAGCCCTGACTAGACTTTGGGGAATACAAACTTGGGTTGTTTGCAAGATGAAAGAAAATGATTTACGGTTAACTAACATTCCTAGAGATAACAGACTTCATTCAATTACATTTCTGTGATAGCATCTAAATATGTATCAAATTGCCCTAAAAGCTGTTAAAATTTAAGGGGAGGGGGAATCCCATTTGAAAACACAGCTACCATTTCATTTCAGGGGAACAGACAGAAAGATAAATCAAATTTAAGACATACCAGAGAATTCAGTCATCTCTAGTTTGGTCAGAATTACTTGATTCTTTGACAATTATCAAATCAAGTTGAAAAAAGAAACCTTGCTTTGTGTCCTGAGGCTCAACTCACAGCAATTGGACTTTCTTTAAAGAGTCCTTAAAAGCCTAGGCAGCTTTTATTAAATATTAACAGTATAATCTGAGAACTACAGAAAGTAGTTGAAACTTTACAGAAAGATGGCTCTGAAGAGAGAGAATGATGTAGGAGAAACTCTGGAATTATCAACGTTTAATGTTAATGTTTTATTTGCTTAGAGAAATTCTAATTTATTGCCTACACAAATGAATTTTCCTTCATTTTCTTTTCTGTAGATCGATTTGAATCACAGCGGCGTCTCCCAGTGAAGAAAAGTCGACAACAACTTCAGCGAGAAAAAGCCCTTCTAGAGCAAAGCCAAAAACTTGGGTTACAAGATGGGTTCACCTCAGTACATCCAGAACAGTTGCTTTCTGCACCTGAAAAGAGATTTAACACTCAAAAACCACATCTTTCTTCCCATACTCTTCCTAGTCCTCTTACTCCAACTTCTCCTGTTGGTGATGGAAAACCACAGGGTATGGAAAGTCAACCAAAGGAACCAGGACTCAAGAATTCCCATGATGATCACAAAAATGTTGAAGTTCTATCTCCAAAGCCAGATTGCAAATTGGAGAAAAAGAAAGTGGAATTGTTAGTAAGTCTATATACTGTGAGACTTTTCATTTTACTCTTTTTTTCTCACTGGGCTTTGAGGAAATATAGTTTGTGTGTTTTAACATTTTCTCTGTTTTATGTTCAAGCCAAGAAATGTGATGAATAAACTATTGAAAAATAACTACCACCTAAATATATTATAAGCCAGGCACTGTTAGGCATTTTATATGTTTTATGCCATTTAGTCTTCATAACAGTTTTACAATGCATGTTTATTATTTTAACTCTATAGATGAAGTATCTGGGCCTTAGAAAAGATACTATCTTCCTAAAGCTAAACCACAGCTAGTAAGTAGTAGAGTTGTGATTACATGTAAGTCTGTCTGGATACCAGAATCAGTTCTTACTTGCGTATTTTCCCCCAAATTGACCCCATATTTCAACCTCTAGACTGCATCTCCATTGGCCAAAAACAGGGTACTTGTGAAGAGAGATGAAGGGATGGTCAATAGAGAAAGTATAGGAAATTAAGGGGACTAGTTATATGCTTCGGTTGCATCATTAGATTTCTTTTTATTTTTCTTTATTGTCTTTGTATTAAAAACAGCCTACATAATTTAAATTAGCCACACTCTTATGGAAATAGCCATTCTGTGACTCATGAATTCTTAGAATTTTTTATTTGTTCGCTTATGTTTTAATATATACTGTTATTTTTTTGTTTCCTCCTTATTTATCACTCACAGGGGAGAAAGGATGGCATTTATTTCTGTTTTCCCTTCTGTGAGTCTTTTCCAAAGTATCTTATATTTTTTCTAATCACTGATATTTTTCTAATCTCTGCTGATCTAGATTCTATACTGTGAGTTTAAAATATTTCCTGCCCACGAGGGGCTAAGAAATCACTTTGACAAGAGAAATAAAACCACATGAATTATGAAACCAACATTGAACAAGTGTTTTAACTTAAATGTCTTTAAGTGTAGTTTACCAGCAAAGGCCTGAGACCAGTGCTCTGGAGGTGAGTTTAAATTGAGCTGGAAAATTTAGATTGGATGTCATTAGGAAAGTTATTCTTTTCTTAAGATATTTGGGAGAATGTTCATAGAAGACATGTAATCTGAGGAACTGTTCTGGTAAAGGAGAAATTCTGAGGTTGTAAGAAGGGGAAAGGAAAGCTATGTCATAGAGAATGCTCACTTCTCTGGGAAGGGAAAAGGACAAACCAGAGAACAGTAGAGAATTAAAGTGATGAGGAAGGACTGGAAGCCTAATAGGTTCACTCATGCATCGAGATACATCCAAGGCCTCTGAGGGGGAAAGGCCTCATCAAAACAATGGTTAGAGAAATTCCAGGTGTCAGTGTTGGAGATCATTTGGGTGAGAGTGCAGGGTGAGCTGGAACTAAGGCGCCTGGTGAGGAAATGCCACAGTGTCAAAAATGAGAAATGACTGGCGTGAACTCTATGGTGCGAGTTATAGAAATGGAGAGGGAAAGACAATTTTGGAAGTGGTTACTAGGTTTGGAAATAGAGACTTGTGGTATAATGGCTGTAGGAAAAGCAGCAATGGGAATAAATAGCTTTGCCATCACCTTGTTTAATTTGAGTTGATATCAAGTTCATGACTTTATGGGAAATTTTAATATATTTCTTTCAGAATCGAACAGATTGAAAGATAATACATGTTTTCAGATCTTTGAAGTTTTTCTTAAGCCCAACATTCCAATCTTAGCTCATAGTGTTTTACTTTGTTTAAAAATATCTAAGAGTTGGAAAAAAGTAAGCAAATTGAAAGAAAATGTATGAAATAAACATTGGTTATTGTCTGGAGGATATGATGGTAGAGACTTTCATTATAGAAAACTAAAACATAAATAATATGACATCAACTACAGACCAATTTATTTTGGTCTCCACTTTGCATATAATACATAATTAACTTACACAAATTCCTTTGTACTCCTAAAAAAATTCCACAGTACTCTGGCTTCCAGTTTGTGGGTTCCTAGATTATATCCATATAATGGATTTCAAGGGTCCAATTTATGTAAGCCTCTTTACTTCAGATCATAGTCTTTGTTCCTATTAGAACAAAATAATGAACTGCAGATGGGTTTCTTTTAAGAGGACTTTTGAAAGAAAATGTACATAAATCTTCTTGATTAAATTTTATACTTAGAGGACTGAGACTGGTAAGGTGTGGGATAGGGTAGCAGTTTCTTTCATAAACTCATTTTTATGTTTTTTCCTCCCCTAGGCAAGAAAAATCCCGTTGGGAAGTCCTCCAACAAGAACAACGACTAATGGAAGAGAAAAATAAACGTAAGAAAGCTCTTTTGGCTAAAGCTATTGCAGAAAGGTGAGGCACCTGAACCAGGAGTGGTTGGTTGTAACCTGCAGTCAGTTCTGTCATATTTTATATTTATTTCCCCATGTCTGTTCTAATAAACTGGTATTTTCTCTGCAACTATAACTTTTAAGGCTAATAAACAAATTATGCTTTGTAAGTGATACTGAAATTTTGGTTTTAATTTATTAAGGAGAACTTTCCAAGCATGGAGCTTATTTACTTTATAAATATAGTTGTTATTAAAACTTAAGGACCAGCATTAATGTTTTCAGTTTTAACCATCTGCACATTTGTAAGAGAAGCAGTAAATAGCTCTCAGTATATGTAGATTAGCAACAAATTCAGGTTATAATTTTGATACGGGGAGCCCTTAATCATCTGACATGGAGATGAAAGAGGTTATTCCACATAAGTGACTTACACTCCCACAAATCTTAATTGTGTTTCCTATGGGCATTTTTCTTTAATAATTTACCCTGCCTCCATTCATAGAGGATACATGATATAATTTAACCCTGATTGATAACTTGGGGTCACTATTGTGAACAATATGTGAGAATGAATTTTTCTCTCATCTCCCAGTATCTGTCTCACTTCTCATTTACTGCGTTGTACCAGGCCCCAAACAGGAACTTTCCCATCGGAGACACTCTTCCCATCCCCCACCTCTGTTGATGCCCACTTAATTGGTAATTTCTATCTAATCTCCTGTAGCCTTAGGAAACTAAGCTTTGTCAATAAAGCAATGATTGCAAATAGCCAGAACTAAGTGTAAGTAAGTACTCAGTGACATTTTCTTTTTAGACCTCCAGAAAATTCTGGCAAAACTGTTAATGCTTGAAGATGGAATATGTGTAGAGGGAGGGAAAGACTTAGGGAGAAGGTAGGTGGGTGTAAGAATAATTCAGAATTTTGTCTGCCAGAGGGATATATGTATTTGAAAATGTTTTTTTTACCCTACTGCTGGTACACTTTGATCTTTCATGAAGCTTAGGAAATATACTACTCACAAACAATGTATAAGACAAAACAATGTATAAAAGAGTAGTGCCTCTTTTTTTAATCCCACAAGTGATTATTAAAAAATAAAGTGTTTTAGTAGTCTTCAATTTGGACAAGGTGGAGAGGTTGTTTACTGGAGATTTTACAAAAAGATTTATCGGCTCCAAGACTTCTCTAAATGCTTTTGATTTAGGACAGAAAGCACTTATACAACAAAACTGTGGAAATATAATACGACAAGTTTGGATTATTAATAAATGGATAGTGAAGTACTTGAAGTAAAAGAATCATACTGGTAAGTGAATTTTTGTAGGCAGAAAGGAAGGGTATTGCATAATGGAATAGAAATCAGAAGAATGTAAGTTGCAGTATAGTTATTTTATGTGGGGGGTTTTCTTCTCCCTTGAGAATATGTATGAAATTCTGAAATGAGTGAAATCATGATTAAAGGTTTGCTTTTGTATTTGCTTGTTCTATTTCTTAAGTATATGTTGTACTTGGGGATGGTGAGGGGAGTGAAAGATGATGAGGTTGGTTGTGCTTTTAAATAAGGAAAGAAAAGAGTGTTTTGGTTTTGAGCCCCACAAAGAATTTTGAGGACTGATAGTTTTGTCTGGAGGCCAAGAATCAAAGCAATAAAAGTTGGGGTCCTAAGAAAGTTAAGACCAAATAGATATTTTCAGACCTATAAAGAATTGTTTAATGCAGGCATCTTTTCTTGATGTCAGGTAAATATCAGACAAACAAAAATGGGCTTAGTGAGAAGAAGAATTCAAGCCTAGAAATTTGGAAAGCTGTTTTGGATGTTTCAATGTAAAGGGAATACAGATATATTCTTTCAGTGTTTGTTCTTCTTACTGAATGTAGTTCTACAAGTGAACTATTTACTGGGATTTTTTAAAAGTTTTTTTACCTTATGAAAAATAATATGTTATAATAGAAACTTTGGAAAAATAAGGGAGAAAAGCTCAAATGTTACCAGCATTTACTTTATTTCAATTTTTCTCATTTTTTTCTAATTTTCAAAAAATCATAAATTATCATATACATAGTATATTATTTTTTCACTTATATGTGGATACATGGTTTTAAAATGTTTTTATTTTTCCCTACTCACGTTTGTGATGTTCTAGATCCAAAAGAACTCAGGCAGAGACAATAAAACTAAAGCGGATCCAGAAGGAGTTACAGGCTTTAGATGACATGGTGTCAGCTGACATTGGAATCCTCAGGAACCGGATCGATCAGGCCAGCCTAGACTATTCATATGCTCGGTGAGTTGGGGAAATTGAACTATAAACAAGGAGTCCGCTTTAATTAATGCTTGTTGCTAACTGGTCCAGGAGCTTTTATGTTTATAGTCATTTAAGCCTCATAACAACCCTGCTAGGTGTCGTATTTATTCCTCTATTGTGCTGACTCAACCGTCCCCTCTTCTGTGAAGCCTTCCTTAATTCTACCCTACCAGTTAACCTTGTTCACGTGCCTGTTAGAGCAGTTCTTGCATTATTTATTTACATTTTAGTCTTTCCTGGTAAACCATCAGCTATTTAATGTTTGAAACTCTTTTTATTATTGTTCAAGATCTAGCAAAGTAGAAGTCTGAGTGACTTGCTCCAAAATTCTATTATACTAACACCAAGTCTGTGTTCTTTCCATTAAAATTTTTGATTATCTGACATAGCCCTTATGTGATTGAAGCCTAGTTCTCACTTCAGTTTTCATCAGAGTAAGAGGATCTAGTTATGTTTTAAAAGCTTATGATTATTTTTTTTTAAAAATGCTCTGTTTTGGAAACTTGAAAGTTTTTCTCTTATTTTTTTCTTTTCCATGATACTCTGTATGAAATGGTTTGATATCATTTTTTTTTTTGGTTTCAACCATTGGCATTTTGTTAAAGAGAAAAAAATCATCATGGAGTATTTTTAAAATGAACTAACACATGTAAAGAATTACATGGACTTTGCAGACAGATAAAAGGGCAAAAAATTATGTCCAATTTCAGGGTTTTCAGTTCTTTCAACATTGCTTTAATCATCCTGGTTTGTCTTTTTTTCACCAGGGAATGCTGTGTTAATGACTCAGTTTTGCATCTTTCTCTGTAACACTAGAAATCAATCAGAATGCCTCATTAGTCCAGGGTAAACCACAACATCAGAATGTTTATATAACAATTTAATAAAGCGGAAATGCTTGATTGTGGTTTTTAATTCACTGTTTAGTGTTTAAGAAAGAGGTTTGTGGTTGTCCTTGTGATTTTTGTAATTGTTGTTTGACCATATGCTATTAGACTTAATGGGTTGTCTTTACTAATTAACTGCCTAAATTAAGGCCATCAGTAGCTGATAACTAGAGATTCCAGACTTCTATTAATGAGGTCACTAAGGAGGTAACTAAGATTTTATTAAGATTAAACTAAGCCTTGATTTTTAGCACATTTTATTCTCTGTAACATAAGTTTGCCAGAGGAACATTTGTATCCCTTTGTAGCCTTGTATATGAATAATTCATATTATAAGGTACATTACCAGGTACCTCAACAGAAAAGTAATCTGATTATGTTTTAAGTCTGTCCTCATGGAAGCTGGAGAACTATGCCATTTTGTATTGAATATTATATTAAAAATGTCATAGTGTTTTGCCCTTCAAAAAACTACAAAGAAAGTAGGATTACTTGTTAAAGGAGAAAACATCCTATAATATATAAATATTCTTAATAAAATTTTAATAAATGTTTACATCTTTAATAAGCTGAAGATGACATTTCTCATGGTACTAATAACATAGTTGTATGTCAATAAATGTTGTATGAGGCTATTTTTAAAAACCTAAGCTCTTGAGTTAAGTTAGGCCATAGACAATTGTGACTACAACCAGAGTTGTGTCTTGTTCATGTGTAAGATCAACATAACATTTTCTAAATTTTCATTTGTGGTTTTTGAGAAATTATAGATTGGTAATATAAAATTGTGGTCCACATTTCTTTTTCTTTTTCTTTTTCTTTTTCTTTTTTTTTTTACCCTGCAGCCCCTAACCCCTTGGTCCAGATTTCTGTTGGAAGATAATCCTCAGGGCAGTCAGTTTTTGTGGGAGTTTTCCTTGATTTTTCTTTTTTTAATAAAAATATCTTAGTACTATAGTACTTGGTACAGTGCTAATCCACAAAAGGTTCTTTGATAGTGAATAGGCCAGAATTTGCTTTAAAATTGGCTTTTGTAGAACAGTGTTAGGATAGATACATTAAGGGGAACAGTACTTTGAGTGAACAAATTTGAGAGTTGCTGCTGCTGCTGTTCACAACTGTGATTATAATGTTGCCATATGCTGTGTAGATGAGCTTGTAAAATACAGAGTAGCTGCACGTAGAACATTTTTTTGAATCATTATTTGCCATCCAGGTTTAGTAGATACCCTCATGTATACGAACACACACAGAGGCAAATATTTTTAAATCATTTTATGAATAATTTATAGAAGTAAGAATAAAAGGGATTATATAAAACAACTTTATTTAAAATTTTTAATAAGAATGTAAACATAGTAAACTTCTTTGTATCAAGTAATGTTTGACTAACAAACATTATAAAGAGCTGAAAGAATATGGTTATGTTAGCAACACAGGATATTCCTGATATTTGTAAAATACTGAGTGATTAAGTTCTTCCTGTTGAAATAATTAACTCTGAGAATGTCATATTTCCTTTTTGTCCTTAGAAATATATTTCTCACTCATTGATTCTTGAGTTTGAGAGAATTCACCTAGGATGTATTTTTCTGAAGACTTAAAGACAGATTTTATTTATATAATCAGTTTCACTATCTGGTCTCTAGAGCGTGTCTTTGCATTGGTATTGGTTTCCGAGGACTGCCGTAACAAATTACCACAAACTGGGTGGCTTAAAACAACACTGATGTCTTCTCTTGTATTCCTGGAGGCCATACCTCCACGTTCAAGGTATCAACAGGGTCATGCTTCCTTCAGAGTCTCTAGGAATCAGTTCCTTGCCTCTTCCAACTTCTGGTGGCTGTAGGCATTCCTTAGCTTGTGGCCACACTGCTCCATTCTGTGCCTCCATGATCATATCACTTCCTCCTCTTCTCTCTCAAAATTTCCTTCACCATACTCTTAAAAGTATACATATGATTGCACTTAGGGCACAACTGGATAATCTAGAGTAAACGCCTCTTGAAATACTTATCTTAATCACATCTTTTGCCATATAAGGTAATTTTCCCTCTTTTGACATATGAAGTAATATTCACAGGTTCCAGGAACTAGAAAGTGAATATCTTTGGGAGGCGATGTTTTTAGCCTACCACAGCATTTATCTTTTGATTTGTCTAACAGTGGCAAAATGTCTTCCTTTGTCCATTTTCTCCACTTTGCTAGTACCATATAGGCAGAAAATGAAAAAATATTAATTCTAAACTGAGTTCAATGAAAACTAAGAACAAGTTACAAATATGGTATTTTCAGTCTTCTTTTTATACCTTTTGGAGATCATGTAATACTTTGGACAACATAATAAGGAAACTCAACAATGATTATTTTATTATTACCTCATCCTTTTAGATCATTATATCATTTTCTGGGTTTTTTTTTTAATATTTTAGCATAAATGGGAATAAATGGTGAGTATTGATGAAATAAGTCCTAGGGTGATGAAATGGCAAAATGTTTCCAAATATGGGAAAAATAGTATCTATAATCCCATAATGCATCTTAGCTTTATGAAAGAGTCCGTTGGACCCATCTGGTGATGGCGAAATGGAATTCATTTTATCCTGTTTTTTTAAAAATAAGTAAATTTTCTCTTTGTTATTTGACAAACTTTTAAGAAAGGTTAAAAGTCATAATATGTTAATTCATACAAATAGTTAGAACTGCTCAGAAAAGGACGTGAAAACCTAAAAATGGATCAGTGGAACTTGAGGTTATACTGAGGGTTAATAATTGAGTTTTTAAAAATTTCAGGGATACTAAAACCCAGAGATAATTTCTGTCCTTTAAATAACATTCATTAAATCATTCAGTGTCCCTTTAAAATAACAAAGCAATTCTATAATTATGTTTCCAGTTCACTATGTCTTACTGTGTTATACATAATGCTCTTACTATTTTGTTCCAGAGTATGTTATTGTACTCTGGTTTGTATTATCCATCTGACCCATAGGCTGGTGGTGCAGTTTGTAAAACTAATTAATATTTTAAATATAAATCTCTCTGTAGGAGAATATATATGCATGTTTCTGGCCAGAAGGACTTTAAATAAATAAACAGAATACAAAATCTTCAGTGATTTATCCAGGATGAAAAATCCATGGAAACCTAGAGACCTATTTGCAGATGTTAATTTCAATTCAGTATTCATGAACCCAGTCTGTAAATCTCTACTAATTGACTTTGACTGGCTGAGGGAGACCACAGACTTACAGAGAAGGGAGGTTGAGGGAAGAAAGGTGAGAGGGGCAGGAGCACAGGGTATTCGTATATCTATAGAGGAGAATATTGTCAGAGCTCGTGGCTTGATGCAAGAACATTCATAAACAAGATATGTTGTAAAGTATGGAAATAAGGGAACCATAAAAATAACTAGTTCTCTCATTCTTATATTTACTAGGTGACAGTAAAAAAAAAGAAATATGATAAATGAACATTATATAAATAAGAGTTGTCAAGGATAAATACCAGGTCCCTAAATTTTATGTAATCACAAATTTAGATACATGTTTACTAATGTAGTAACAGTATTTTTTGATCCCAGTGCTCTGAAGGGGAAGTTGTGTTTCTTGAGCACCTACCAGGGACTGGGTAGACACTCGCCCTATTTATACTATTTGATCCTTAACACTCCTATGAGGTATTATTATCTTCACTCTTTTACAGATAGACCAAGACTTAGCTGAAGTAACTGACTAGAGTCACCATACTGGAGTTTTCAGTCATTATGTACCTCTTCCCCAGGCCCTTCCCCAACCCCTTCCACAGGAACCTGGCTGTGTTTTGTACTCATGGTGCTGACTCCGGGGCACACCTGATTAAAACAAAGATGGGCTACCAATTCCAGTACATTCAATCCATAGGCTAAATAGTGGCTCATGGCATGGCCTGATACTGTGAGCTCTGTTTAAACTGAAATGAGCCAGGCCAACCTAAGTTCTCCCTCCGAAATTATTAAATTGGATCACTGAGAGATTGAGTGGAGTGAATTTGATGTAGAGCACAGGCTGCTGGCCATATTGGACGTGAGTGTAAAACAAAAACTAAAGTGAGGGAAACTGTGTGGCTTCTAACCATTGAAGAAAATAGCCTTTGATTCTGATGGCATGCTTATGAAATTGCCTCTTGTATCCTACAATGAGACCCCTTTTTTTTTTAACCTGAGCCAGTTTAACTGAATATCTGTTCTTTGCATCCAAAATAAGCCTTGACCAAAATAGGGACACATAGAGGAATGGCAGAGGAAAGTTTTGAACGCTGGGTTCTCTAAAATAAAAGCCTTTTATTTTTTTCACTGTATTTCCTTCCAAAACAAAGAATCTTAGATTAGGAGATATATCTGTTTCTTTTTTGCTGTAACTCTTACACTAGAAACTACTCATTACATTGAGTTAATATAGGCAGTCATAACAGGTAAGGCAACATGACCTTCACTACTGCTAATGGTAATTAAATTAAAGAACTAGTTGGTAAATGGGAATCAACCTTTTTTCTTGCAAGAGAGAAAGAATCCTCTTATTGCAAAAAGAAAAGCAACAAATTATATATGGAAAATGCAAAAGATAATGGATGAAGATACAACATTTCTCTTTGCACCAACCTCAGGAAGAAGAAAAAGAGGAGATTGCAAAGTGACTTCTCCAGTGAATTACCCTACTTCACATAAAACTGGCATTACCTATCAACAGAGTTTATATATGTGTAAATATATAAAATTTTCTAATACAAGTGTAACAGCAGTCTGTTGCTGAGTGGAGGAGGGTGAGAACAGCTTAACCCAGGGATTCTCAATTGGGAGCAGTTTTGCCCCTTTAGGAACATTTGGCAGTATCCGGAGATATTCTTGGTTGTCACAACTTTTGAGTGGTAGTGGCAACTAGTGGGTAGAAGCCAATGGTGCTGTTTACCATCCTACAACATACAGGACAGCTCCTCACAACAAAGAATTATATGGCCCAAATTACCAGTAGTGCTAAGGTTGAGAAATCCTGCCTATAGCTGTCCTGAAGTTTTCTATTCTACTCTATATTTACTTCTTGCTCTCACCCAGTATCTTTTTGCTGGGTGTGCTCTGTCCCATTTATATTCAGCTCCCAACCACTGTCTATATCCTTCTCTTCCATCAAAATTTTTCTTTTCTAATCTGTTAATCAGGGGATACAGATTTTTCCACTTTCTTCATCTCTTGTTTTATGTCTCATAAATTTGTGTGCTGGAGCTAGCTTGCAGTGGCTCATGAGAGCAGATTTTGTGTGTCTCTTCCCAATTCTGATTTAGTGATGTTGCATTGGTAGCTTGAAATTAGTCAAGGTGGTAGTGTTTATAACACAGAAACTGGCAAATGCTATAAATCGGGGTTCCTCCCTCAACTGGTAGTTAATACATGCCTGAATTAACCTTCTTAGCCTGCCTTCACTCAAGCACAGCTGTGGAAAGAAGAAATGAGTGCAGAAGAATGTTTTATCAGGGGCATCTAAATGCCCCTGAATGTGTTATATCAGGGGCATCTAAATAAGGATGTTGTGAAAGTTCAGCTGTAACCTAGTTTGTCTAACATGTAAATTGTGAAGTATTAATATCTGTATCTTCATTATACATTCCCCCCCCAATTTTGTAGTGTAATTATTGTGTCTAGACCCTCTTTTGAATATCTTCTTCAATGGAAAACTAATGGAACAATCTTTGTACCTATCCTTACAGGAAGCGATTTGACAGGGCTGAAACAGAGTACATTACAGCAAAGCTAGATTTACAGCGCAAGACTGAGATAAAAGAGCAACTCACTGAACATCTTTGTACAATCATACAGGAAAATGAGCTCCGAAAGGCCAAGAAGTTGGAGGAGTTGATGCAACAGTTGGATGTACAAGCTGATGAGGAGTCTTTGGAGCTTGAAATGGAGGTGGAAAGATTGCTGCGTGAACAAGAAGCAGATGCAGGGAAACAAATAGTTGATTTAGAGAGGCCATTTCAGCCTGCTGGGGAGAATGTGACATTAGGATTTGCTAAAGAGGACAAAAAACATCAAGAACAAGCTATTTCCCCAAAGGTAGACAAACAGTGCGCAAATTCCAATAACGTCCCCCTTCTTAGTACAGCAGGCCCAAATCAAAAAGTTAATGACATTTCAGCTGCTCTGGGCACATGAAGTGCTAGTGTTCTTTTCAACTAATATGGTATTCAGAGAGGATAATTTCTGCAGTAGAGTATCCCCTGAACTCTGATAAATGCCTCTTTAAAACAATGATAATTTTTGAATCCATTAAAAATTAGTTTAGATTAGTTTTAGTAGATTAACATGGTTGACCATTCTAAAGTCCCAATTATAGTAATTAGATATAAATTTTAGATATGAAATTATAGTAATTTTATATCTGGGGCATATTTCACCTTGATTTTTGGTCCAGTTCTTTCAGTATACTTTTTACCCTTATTACTGGGTGAAAATAAGGGACTTAAAAGGATGGAGGGAAAAAAAACCACATGGTTAGAATGTTTTGTTTTAGACCAGGTAAATATAGAAAAGTAGAATGGAAAATGATTCTCAACACCTAATCAAACTCATTTATCTTCCCCTGGGAGAAGTATTGAGAATGGAAGTCCTATTTTATGTAATCAGTAAAAAAAAACAAAAACAAAAATCACTACCTGAAAAAAAGAAAGGCAGGTAACAGGTTGAATTATCTATCTGGATCTTACTAGAGTTGCAAAACACATCTAAGAAACTGCAGTTAATGTAAAGAACCAGACAACTTAAACCAACATTACTATTGTCTTCAAATTGCCTTTAAATGGTTTTAGTTTACAGTCTGAGTTTTGGTTAGTTGATACACATACTACACATAATAATTTTACTATTAATATATTGTCTTTAATCAGTGAATTGATTATATTCAGACAAAACATTTCTAAAGGGAAGCTTAGAATAATATAGAAAATGTTACTGCTTTTGATTGTCCGAAAAACCGATGTATTTTTTCTTTCTAAAGTTATCTATTAATATAAATACGGTTTTTATATGTTGGGCATAAATTATCCTGTCATAAAGCATTTCAATTGTTAAAATGCTGATTTTCTTAATACTTTAATAGTTTATTAAATTCCTATTACTAATACTTGACAACTACTTTGTGTTATATGTGAATGTGTAAATAAATATTATAGTTTTGTCACAAAGTCTATGAATATCACATTAAATTATGATCTATTTATCAGAAATTCCAAAAAGTAAAATATTACATTTTAAGTCTTAAAAAAAAAGAACTATCATCAAAGAAGATAAGGACAAGCATAATATTATATCTATAAACATTTCTGAAAAAGTTAGAGGCATCCTATTTTTGAATGAGTTCGTTTGAGAGTATTATCTTCTGGTAATATGGATGAGCTTTGTACTTTTTATATTATATAATTTCAGTTGAAATTAAATTTTCCATTATTGACTTCTCTAAACAGAAGCATTGAAATTAAACTTTCCATTATCAACTTCTCTAAACAGAAGTATTTATGTAAATAGTTGTGTTTATTTATGATTGACATACATAAAAATTGAAAGCTTCATTGTCCAAAACACTCTTATTTTTCTAAGGAATAAAGTCTTACGTACTTATAGCATGGTCTTTCATTTACCTTAAAAAGAAGTTTCAAACAGTTTAATAATGTGTGGTGATAATGCATCTTGGATCTCCATATGGTAGATACAGTTACCTACTTTTGTATGAGCCTCTATTAAGGAAAATTCATTAATAAGTGAGGTTTTATAATATTGGTTAAAAACAGATACGTACAATCTTAATTCTCTAAATACTTATAAGATATATGAAAAAGTGAGAACCATGAGAGAAATGAGTTGGATGAGACCTCAGAGATCATCTGATTTAATCACCTTTTTTACAGTGAGAAATCTGAGGGCCAGAGATTTCACTAGCTGCTTGTTGGGCACCAAGCTTATTTTAAACTTAAAGTGTTAGTAAAGTTGCAGTTCTACACTCCAGATGTATCTCTTACATAGGCTGTGAAGATCACTGGATCCCTCCACTTGAAAATTTTGCTTTATAATCCATTCACTTTTAGAGTGTGTGTGTGTGTGTGTGTGTGTGTGTGTGTGTGTGTGTGAGTGTGTGTGAGAGAGAGAGACATGCTTTCAAATATTGCTATAAAGGGTCCACCGAAACTGTTACTTTGAAAAATTGTTATCTTGCAGCGCTTTCCCAGGGTGGTATCGGAGTGCTCAGGTGATGATATAAGTGACAAAATTGTATTGCATCAGTTTTATACAAAGGCAGCTGTATCCCATGTGGGAGGAATAAGAGCACATGAATGAGAAGTGGGGGCTCCCGGGTATGAGGACCATATGCATTGGCTCCAGGATAGCCCTGACATAGATATCTTTTAAAATAAATTATAGTACTTTGGAAAAGCTTTGATACATGATTCACAAATACACAATAATGGTTAATTTCCGTGGAAGAAAATTATTTGTTCAGAATTACAGCCATGAGTTTATTGGGCACTTTGTAGAGCTGTCCCTCTCTGATGTTAAACTTCTTTCTTGCTTACATTTCTCAAAGAGTTAAAGCAGAAGATTAGCAGAGTTCTTAATGATGTGAATAATTTAGGAGCCAATTACTTTGTGTTAGCTCACTTGTTCTATTTAGAAGATAGTCTTTACAAAATTGTAGTAATTTTCACTTACCTTAAAGCATACATTCACTTGGGTAAACTTGAATCCCTGAATTTAAAAGGTTGATTCCCTACTACTTTTTAAACCGAGAGCCATTTTTGTGGGTTTCAAAGAAGCAGAATTTCTTAAAGCACAGTTCTCATTGCATTTAAATAAAAATGAGTTTTTCTCAGGTTTTTCACCTCTGCATAATTCTGCTTACAGGTAGTAAATCTTTGTGCTCACTGAGTGCACAGCTGGTCTACAAGTCAGATGATAATCTCTGATTGAAATTCCTACAGCATATTTCATTGCTGAATTGGCATTTGAATTACAGAGTAAAAATTCAGCTATAAAGTTCTCATTCTTTGTTTGCATTTAGCAACATAGTACTCTCAAGGAGCTTATCTAAGTATTCAGCCACTTCCTCTTCCATGGCATTGGCACAAAAAGGACTCAAGTTATTCTGACCCAGGCCATTCCCAGTGACCTTTATAAATGATGTTTTGGGTTTTATATTTCTAAGGAGCAAAGTCAGCCTTTTAAAGGGCCTTGATAGATACAACTCAGTCTGCCAGACAAGACCTGGGGCCACTCTGGACCAGGGTAATTATACCCCTTCTCAACATAGATCTACCCCAGGCCTGATTTGAACTACTCTCTGGAGGGATGAAGCAGGACTCTATTCTCCAGTCTGCTTTTACCTTAATGTCAAGCTACTTTTGCAAGCTCCTAATCCCAAACAGGTGTCTTGAAAATACAGTTATCATTTATTTATGCAATTGATCAAACAACTGAGTGTAGCTTACCTGTATGGACAGAGCTATGTAAGAGGCATTTGATCTGTGCCTTTTGTCCTTAAGAAGCTTATAGTCTATTTGAGGGAATAAGATTTACACTCATAAAACAAAGGCTGATACAGAACATAATGTGTTATTAGTGTGAAGCAAAATAAATGGTTGCAACACTGAAATGGATACATCCTCCAGAAGTCCCAGATTTTTAGAACATCCCTAATTTTAAATATTCTATCAAATTGTTTTTTAATTTGTTCATACCATATTTTTCAGTTCACCTTTGGCACAAGGTGGGGAGGAGGGCAACAAATACACAACCAAAATTTAAAAATTTTGAGTTAAAAAAGTGTAGTCACCAGAGCAAGAATGAGTTGGAAAGAGGGGAGGTTTTTGCATGTCATTGATTTAAAAATAGGGGACCCACTGGGATTCATCAGTGTAAAGCCCCATCAAGTATTAGAAAAATTAAGGACAGACCTTTCTGACAAAAGGGTTAATAGTGTCTTCTTAGGTGGAGAATAGCATTAATATGAGAGCTCATTACCATTATTCAAGATATTATGGAACCAAGGAGCAATAACCATTGCCTAAGCCAGAACAAGATGTAAATGGGACAGACAGTATGGGCTCAAGGACAACTCAACATGGAGGCTTGTTCAAAGATCACGCATAAGGTCTTCCAAGCCAGATGACTCTAGGAACCTAAAATAGAGCCACAATTAAGCAATAAGATGTGACAGGGATAACATTTCTTAGTGATTATAGCATGCCCCAAGGGATAAGTCAGTAGGCCAAAGGTTCATACGTGGAGTGAAGTAATAACCCTACAATGTATAGTGTCACTCCTGTTAGAGGGAGAGGGAGAAGGAAATGAAAAATTGGAGTTAGAAGAGTCATTTTATGAGCTATTATTTCAGTTGTTGAGTAATGCTGCCATGTATACAGTGCATGTGGCCATTAGTTGTATCCAGCATTCTGAAGCTGTATATTTATACCAGAGCCTTCACTTCATTTAGAACTCTGCAGAGTTGGCTATCTCCTCATTGACTTAGCTAAGCAAAAACCAGGCAATTCCCCTACAAACCTGAAAATCCATAGCCATATGTATGGAACTACAGTCTGGTAGAATTATGATTGCAATTGCTCAGACCTGACTTTTATAACTGGAAAAAGTTATAAAATCATCCATCAGTTATAAAAGGCACCATCTTGGGTGATTTTCCATAGTTTAGCTCATGTACCTCATGTGCATTTCCCCCAGAAATGACCAGCAGACACGGCTCCAATGTCACATAGATCCAGAAACATGATGAGGCTTTTTGTCTGAGCTTTCCTTTCCCTAACACTGTGCTGCTGGTGGAAGAGAGGGAGTCTCTAGAGCTAGTGACCAACTAAACCCACACCATGGTGGGGACAGGTCTTTCACCAGGATGAGAGATGAGATACCCAGTAGCCATAAGGCGGAGAGAGAAATATCCAAACTCAGGACAGAGGCCCCTGAAACCCTGCAGATAGAAGCAGCTGTTTTATTGCTGGATTCCTCTCCATGTTTCTATGAGTCTTCAGAATATAGAATGAAACTCAGAGAGCAAGGCTTTCTGTGGTCCTTAATGTCTCCCATGGCACAGGACAGGGCCGCATTGTAGACAAAAGTCCAGGCAAACAGTGGCTTCTCTTAGCCCAGCCTCTCCTTCAGGTGACCAGTGTTCTTGCTCTCTCTTAAAATCTGCTCTTAGGAGATGATCTGGAGAGTTACTTAGATCTTGGGGGAACTTGTAAGTCAGT